TTCGTCAGAATTTGGAAATATAAACATATGTTCATACAATAGAATACTATGCATGAAAAATTAATGAAATAAATATACTCAGGCACTCAACAACGATGCATCACAAAAACATTTTGGACAAAAGAAGTTACAACAGGATTCAATTTATGAAAGTTCAATATAAGACAATCTACACACACACACACACACACATATCTGGAATATATATATATATATATACACACACACATTCATATGTGGAATATGTGTATATGTAGTAAAATGATCAAAAGAAACAAGGAAATTCTTAGCAAAAGAGCAGAATAGAGGTATCTCTGCAGGAGAGGGAAGGGAATGGAAACAGAGAGGGAAACATGAAGCTTCTAGATGACTGCATATGTTTTATTTCTTAGCCTGGGGGCTGGGCAAGCCTTAGTTCCTTTTGGTTATTATTTAAATGGAGCTGGCAAATGTTTTGTACATTTTTATGAACATTGTATCAGTAAAACTGTATATATGTACATACATGTTTATATTGTAGAAAAAAAATCAATCTATGACTTTGAGCCAAGAGATAGTTATTGATATATGAAAGAGCTTTAGGCCACTGCACATGTGTGGTTTGGGTTTTCTTTCGTTTTTGTTTTGCACAACCTCCTGCAAAGGAAAACTGCATCCCAGTCTGATAGGAGACTCCTCTTTGGGCACTTACGCTAATGATCGTGGTCATTAAAATTTTTTATTTCCCGATACCTGCTACTCCTACTCTTGTCCAGTGGCTTACTGTTGCCACAAAAAAGCTACCATGTAATGTGAGAGCCATTACTGCCAACAGGTCTAGGAGGGAGGACGGGAAGGGGATGCCTGCTTCAGACCCCCGGGGGGAATCAAGATTGTTGGCACTGCCTTGCAAGAGAGTCAGGGACTGTCCTGTGTCTGGGAAGTGAGCAGACATTAGCTGAAGACTGTCTGCCCGTGCAGGACCCCAGGTAGCAGCGGCAGAGACGCATTCACAGAGGGCTCCCAAAATAAGCAGCCTAAGATGACAGAACAGAATCTGAGAGCTCAGGCAAAGCAGCCTGGGCACAGGAAGGGCTCCCGGGGCAATTTAAATGATGAGGTGATAGGCAGTAAACTCCCAGGGCAGGGCAATCAATCACTGCCAGGCTTATCTTCCGACAAGGGCTGGGACTCCAGGTTGCAGCTGTAACATTAAAATGTAATGTTTCCACTGGGATTTGGTGTGGCAGGTCTCCCTGAAGCTTCGTTTCACTCAGTTAACTAATTATGAGAGAATGTGACACTGGTATTTACTTTTTCTACAGGGACAAATCATTCCCAGCAGGAGAGACAGGCTGTTATTTTTGTTCTGTTTTGCTTGGTCATTAAAAAGAGATTACTTACATGGTAGTAAATAAACGCTTGTTAGAGGGAGTTTTTTTTTGTTTTTTCCTCTCAATAATTCTATCAATTCACCTTAATATGGACAATCATTTCTTTTGTTTTCCAGAGACAGGGTACATAAATGAGCAAGAGGTAGATGTTAGAACTGGGTTTGAAAATTAACTCTACCACCTACTAGCTGTGTGATCTTAAGCAAGCTATTTAAGTACCTTGAGCCTGTTTCCCCCACTAAAAAAATCGAGGATAATACATCTGCTGTGTCTACTGCAGCCTTTATTCTTAATGACTCTGATACTACATTATACAACTAGAACATTTTATATTTCACTTATGCCTTATATGGCCAGTTTTCTATAGGACCCCACATCTAATCATGAATTGCATCTTTCCTTTGCCGATATAAGCTGCATTGTGTATTAACCATTTCACTCTTCCTCATCCAGATGTGAGGTTTCCGATGAAAACACAATATTTAATGATAGCAATTTTCTGCCCCTCCTCCACCCCCAGGACACTTTTTAACTTTTCAAAGACAGAACGCAATGCTCAGCAAACATCACTAATAAACTCACACCTCATCCGTGCCTGGACAATAAGAGCGTTGTTTTGGGGTGCTTTTAGCCAACTGGTAAGTGATTTCACAGATGATCTCCCACTTAAACTCATAATCCCATGAGGTAGGCAGGGTAGATATGATAAGCTCCACCTTACAGGCAAGGCAGTGGTGGCTAAGAGCGGGTAAATGACAGAGCCATGATATTCAAGCCTATTTCCTATGAAAGGTAATCTGTGGGAACTGAGAATGCCAGGTATATTGGGCTACGGAAAATGAGATTTTCTCAAGAACAAATCTGTTTTGAAGGTAGCCAGAGCAATTGTTATTAGGGAGAAAAGTAAGATCATTGGAAATGAGCTAACAAAATAGAAAGTCAAGAGGCATGGGGCTTTATATCCCAATTTCACAATCCATTTGCCCAATGAGCCTCAATTTTTCTATCGCTAAATTTGAGAAAGCAAAAATGTTACTTCTTACCATTTTTTAAAAATTTTTTTATTTTTTACTTCTTACCATTCTTAAAAGCATGCATATTATAATATCATTGTCGTGTACAAATATAATATCATTCTATCACTTGATAGAATATTCAGGAGATTTAATGTGAATCACAGAAAACATGAACACTTAAAAATGTATAGGCACGAGAAGACATATTTTAAGTGCTAGTAGAAAATCTTGGTGATAAAAGATAAGAATAAGAATATTTTCCAAGGATACCTGGGCTAGAGGATGATGGAAAAGTAAAAAGATTAGACAAATCAGCCTCAAAATTTCACATTACATCTTTGAGTAGTTTTTGGAAGTTGCAGAATCAAACTAGGAGGGACGGACATATAATAACTTTTGAAGCCATAAAAATATAAAGCCCTCGTATCTGGATAATGTTTCTTTAATCACATATATAGTTCTTTAATTAATTCTGACGGGTTATTCATACCTAGCAAGTCTTTCTGGTGGTAGACATTTTTCAAGGACTTCCAAGGATGCCACCACCTGCTCACCGATAGCTCGTAACACCTTAAGAATTACTAGCAAACCACAGAACGACAATTCATAAGTTCCCCCGACACCCCTTGTTTGGAAATAGGGGATAAGTTCTAATAGACTGGAAGGCCAAAGCAAACAAGCCATTTAAGGAAACCCCTAGATCAAAATAAAAACAAAACAAAAGTTTTGAATCAATGGTACCTAGAAGCCCAACGATCCCTCAATATGCAATGGAAAACCTAGTCATACCAACACTGATGAGCAAAGTAGCACATTGTAATAGGTCATCATTAGGTCGTTCGTTACCTTATAGTGATTTAAGAGGTCTACACATGATTTGCCCTATGATCTTCAGAGAATGTGATACATCTTCATTTCAATATTGTGAGAGATCTTATGATATGGCAGAATATGCCTGCCTAAAACTCCCTCTCTTTGTCCTTAACTCATTCACGTAATAAGCATTTATTGAATGTTTGCTATTTGTTGGGATTTATATCAAAGAACTCACAGCCTAGCAGGGAGACAGGTAAACCAGGCATCAAATTTATGTGTTAGATTCTAGAAGAAAAATATTTCATGTAAATGGTAAGTGTGTCAGAAAGCTCTCAGAGAGGATGAGATGATTAGCAAGGTCTCAAATGGTAAGTATAAACCGTGTATATTGCAACAAGGAGTAGCTTCCTGTCAGAAAGAAGAGTATGGATAAAAACAGGAAATATGAACACATGGTGAGTTCCAGAAAACAGATGCAATACCACATGGCTAGAACATTCAGCATGGGTAGAAGAAAGGGGAAAAGACGGCAAAAGAAGCAAAAAGCAGTAGAAGGAAACAAAGGTTCCATCATTTAGGATTTCCATTCCACATTAAAATACAGTAACAAAAAGCTGAATACAATGGTTGGTCTACTGATGAGATTTCAACCCAGAGGCAATGGGAGTAGATTTTTGCTGAAGAACAGTGTGGTGCTCTCCAAGGGTAGAGTGAATGAGAGGATGGAAAACTATTAGAAAAAATTAGACGGTGGGGACATCAGTTTTAAGGCAATTTTAAAAATCTAAGTAAGACACAGAGAGCCTCTAAGCTACAGCAGTGGGGATGGAAAAGAGAGTAGCAATAAAAGGAATATGAAAACCAGAGTTAATAAAATTTAGTGACCGAACAGAATAAGGGAATGAAGAGGGAATCTGACAGCAGCTTTCCTGTGTTATACTTAGTTGGCTGAATACATAATGGTGCCCTTCACTACTTAGGGCTGGCATGAGGAGGAAAGCCAGTACTACTCAGAGTCCTGGTGTATCTCCCCTTTGTAAGATTAATCACATTTTACTTTATATTGCGGGAGGTATGGGTCTTTCTACCACCCCCTTCACCACTAGACTCAAAGCTCTTTTAGGGGGGGAAATTCTGTCACATATCCCATTATCTCTGCAGATGGCTCCCAAAAGCATATTTGCATAACATGATTATATAGTATCATGGACTCACTGTAGACACTCAGTGAACATTTTTGAATGACTGACTGAATAAATGAATTCCCAAAGGTAGATGTGACAAAACTATACATTTTATCCTTTGAATGAAATAATTGTGTCTTAAATGTGAATAACTCACCTCAGTGGGGTAACAATTCACACCACTACTGATTAGGTTCATTTCAGACTTCTACTACTTTTGGCAAATTCCAACATCCAATCTTGGAGGGACTTGGGAGTACCTACTACACACTCTCATTTTAAAGATGAAAATCTGTGATGCAGAGAAATTACATGGCTAACCCCAGCTCACAAAATGTATCCAGCGATGGGACAAAGATCAGGTAGATACATTAAGCTTCATAATACTTGTCAACCAAAATGGTTATAATGGATTTAAAGATATTACAAGATATCACATTTAGTTAGGATACACTGAGTTTTTAAAAGTGCATGACATTTCACATGGAAAAAAACACAAGGCCAATGTCTTAGAAACATTTCCTTGAATAATTCTTTCCTCTGACAGTGAAATGCAAGGAATAGAACTCAACTTTTAATCTTGAATTAGTATAAGTAAGACAAATTCTTACCGTGATCTTCTGAAGAGACTGGTGACCTAAAACGAGATAATAAGCATGATAAATGTTTTGTAAATGATACTGATAATTATAAATGCAATAATGATCAAGAATAATCTCCTAGAAATATTATCCCCGAATTCAATTAAATAGAAAGTCAATATAGTAGGCAGTGTAATTAATTTGTTGGTTGCATGGTATTTTCTGATTGATCACTCCCAAAGCTTACCTGGACTGGTTGAGTGGTTGGGGTTAATAAAATTTCAGTCGACTGTACTATGTCATGGGACTGCAACAAACTTAGTTAAGTCTTGATTTATGACACACAAATAGAAAAGTCATAGTAATGTGGCAATGGATGGAATCCTGTGATGTCGCCAAAGGCCAGGCCTCCAGAGAATGTAAATAAGCACTAGATTGAGTGTAAGTAAAAAGAAATCTACTTGGACAGTAAAAAATGGGACAGAAGTAAAATAAATGGTATGTACCTTTATCATTGTTGTTTTTTGTTTCCACTCTGTGGAATTTAAGGTTTAAGTGAGCATGACACAGACTGCCCTCTGTGTGTAGGCCTCATAGCTCTAAACCTGTAAGAACCAGGATGAGACAAGAGTGCAACCGCTGGTGTCCCACAGAACTTTTATAAATTGATGACTTTTACATACCATTTATGCAAAAGTTCCAATTACATTAGGAAGACACCTATGAAGCATCATGTCAATGCTTCACAATAAAAACCTTTATTCCCCAGCTGACCACTAATTGAGCTACTCTGAGCAATACAGACACAGTCTTGAGGATCAAGTCCCCTCAAGCTTGAATGATACAGTCTTGACTCTACCAGCTCATTCTTTCCTTGGGATGAAGTGAGATGTATAATTCTGTACTAACAGGTGATAAAATTTTGAAGGGAAAGGCAAGAAACCAGCCAGAAGGCATCCTCTGCTCTAAATGATCAGCCTGCTGGGGGTCCACTACAGGAAGATGACCAAAGGGAAAGGCAAGCATTTAGGAATCTGCCCTTTAATATAACTAGTGTTGGGGCAAGAATAATTCTATGGATGCATAGTGGTTGAAGGAAGATTTTAGCTACTGTGGGATGCTTGAGAATGCTTTAATATTTTTGTCCATTATGGGAGTGATCAGTAAAGGACACAGCAGTCATGGTGGGAAAGCCTGGAAGTTCCCTTAGTGGCAAAGTGTCAAATCATTTCAATCTTACCAGTCTCTTCAAGTGAACCTTTGCATGTGAAAACAACAGAGGGTCCCCAGATTCGGTAGAGAGAAAACTGGCATCTGGGTATGGGCACAGGGACCCCTGAAAGGGAACCTGCTCCAGCCTAAGCCATCCCTGCAGAGTTGGCCTCTTGAGAAATGCCACATGGCCTTCCAGGTAGAGCTTATTTGGGTTCTCCTAGGGATTTCTCTGTTTCATACTATCACAAACCCGTCGTCCCCACTGGGCTGTGAGCAAACAGAAAACTAGGACCATTGCTTATGTAGTAACAGAATGGACCCCTGATCAATATTTGTTGAACTGAATTAATGTCAGCACTACCACACAGGTGTTTAGACTCAAACACATTTTGGAGAGCCTCAAAAAAATCATCATGTCACCTTCAAACCACCCGCAATACCGGTTTGCCAAGCTCCAAGGCCAGCCATGGGCAGAAGGAATGAGACAAGCTCCAGAACAGAGAAAATGTGAGCACTCCCAGAGCCAGAAGACATCCAGTACACCTAGCAACAGAGACCTACAATCTGCCTTAGTGGTTAGGAAAAGAAAGAAGGAGAGAGTGCAGAATAGAGGTGAATGAGAATGAAAATGAGTCTAATGAGAAACATGTATTTGAAATAAGATAATTTCTTAAGATGCTCGGGCATGAAAAGAAGTCAGCAACAAGGTAACATCTTTAGCCCTAGGGTTTTCTGATGGGAATTAAGCAAAAACACATCCTGGATTGTTGACCATTAATTTCTCATGGAGGTCTAGGAACAAAGAAAAACCCATGCCAACAGACGACTGAATGTCTCAGGTGGAAGGCTTGTGAAGCAAGGCTTTTGGTGCCTTTCTGTGAAAGCAAAGCACTAATATTAAATCTGAAAAATTCCAGATGGCTTGGTTAAAGTCCCCAGGGGATGCAGTGGTCCAGGCAGTGGGGAAGAACTATCCATTTCAGAGTGTTTGCTAAGGATTAGTCATGTTGAGTTTCTGTGCGGAATGTCTCCCACATGCCTGGATTTGTGGAATTTTAAGACATATGGAGTATTTCAGTCCTCACTCAGTATTTCACCTTTCACTCTAACAAGTCACTAAATTATACTACTGAGACATGCACACCATCCATTATTGCTGGAAATGGGCATAAAAAGTTTTACAGAACTTAGCTCAGGAGAGAGGAAAATTCATGAAATCAGCAAGAGAAGTAGTTATTTTTAAAACAGAGAGGTTGAACCGTAGGAACAGATAATCTTCCTCAACCTGACAACTGAGGAATGCAGAAGAGTTCACTGCTCATTCCTCCCACTGAATCTGTAAGACTTGTGGTTCTATTCCTATTTATTTCTCCTCCATGTACACTTTATCTTGGGGATAGCATCGCTCTCATAATGCAAACTACGACCGGGATTCAAAGAACTCCAAGATTTTGAGTTCTTGCCACTTTCTTCAGTACTAGCCTTTTATGACAGTCTGGAGAATATTTACATTTAATTTTGCTTTGTTTTGTTTTGTGGGTTTTTTAGAAAAACACTTTTTTATTTACATCTCACTCTAATTCGGCCAATAACAAAAAATACCAAGAACTCAAGTCCTGGATTTTAAAATCTCTCTCCTATTTTAAATCTTTCTATTTATGTTGATTCAAACCTTCATAATAATTACTGTTTGAGACCCTATTAGGTACGAGGCCCTGTGCTTCATGATGGGGATACAAAAACAAACAAGGTACCAATTTCAAGGAATTCAATCAAAGGAGAAAAATAGGCAAACAAATGATTATAGTGAAAAAAGTGTAGTCATCAAAATATGTATGAACTAAAGAAGGAGCATGAGAAAGAGAGACCCATTCTGTTCTGGAAGAGTGAAAGAAGACTTCAGGAAGCAAGAACCATGGGAGCCGGGCTCGGAAGGATGAGCAAAAGCTTGTTAGGTAAATAAGAAAGGAGAAGAATGTCAGGCAGAGGCACGAGGCATACGACAAGGAACATGGATAGGAAATTTCATAATACGTTATCAGTCAGACAAGGAACTAAGTGTGGCTAAAATATAAAGGAGTGATAAGTTAGGACTGGAAATAGAATAGACAGGGATCATTTCATACAGGGCCTGACAAGCCATTTTGATGTGCTGGTAATTTACCTTCTAAGCCAAATGAAGAAAGTTTCTGAAGCAGTGAAGTCATACATTCTCATTGCTGCTTCCTATCAGGCAGGCTGTGCAGAGTAGAATTTTTTAAAAAAGCAAGAGTAAAGGCAGGAGACAAGTTAAAAACTATTACTGCAAAGCTTCTGCTCTTCTCTTTGAAATTCATGAAAAGTAACAGGGAGAATGAGAAACAGAAAAGGAAGCATCGTCTTTGACTAAGCTAAAAGATACCCATAATCCAAAATCATCTGTAAAGAAAAGCTACCAAGTACAAGAAAAATGGGCCAAGTTTCAGGGAGACAGAGAAAGCATATTTTGATCTCAAAAGATATGAGCTACACAGTGCACCACAAAATTCAGCAGAAAGCGTTCTGCTCTGAGCCAGGTGCCCTGCTAGTCAGAAGTGGAATCAAATCCCAGAGGATAGCGCTGTTAAAAAAAGAATTTGAAAAGAGACCCAAAGTCAAGCTTTCAGAAAGACAAACCCACTATGCCTAACTATCTATCCCAAACTAATGGCTCCAAAAAGAACTCCTCTAAAACAAATATGAGTAATAAAAGTAAAAGAAACCAGTATGATAACCACACAAAAATATTCTAAGAAGAAAGCAGGATAAGGATCTGCTGACAAAACTTAAGGTGGGAGTACACTAAAATGGTAATGGCAGGGACAGGTGAACCCTATTGAGAGACCTGTCAATTTTCCATGAAATTTGGAAATGGGAAAAGGAAAGGAGGGAATGAAGGAAGGAGTAAAAGATGGAATAGGGCCTCTGTGATGAGAAACATAAAGAAGAAATAACAGTGATTATGAAATAGTCCCAAAACAGCAGAAGAAAAGAGCAAACATTGGTACAGAGTCTTCAAATCAGTAAATTATAGACACAGCTTAAGGACTCTTTCCTTAAGCCACTTTCCTTAACCACTCTTTCCTTAACCACTACACAAAAAAAGAATATTGAGAGGAGGTAAAAGATCCATAATAACTAAAAATACATTAAGAGATAAGCCATTCATTTTTTCATCCATTCAAGTAACTGCTTTGTGGAAGTGTCTTGCTGTTTTCCAGTTTGATTTACTTTTCTGTGATTTTTTTTTTTTTGGCTTTTTAAACTTTTAATTCCAGCTAATTAACATACAGTGCTGTATTAGTTTCAGAAATATAGATATAGTGACTTAACAATTCCATACCTCACCTGTGCTCATCACAATTGCACTCATTGGTCCCCATTACCTATTTACTGCTTGCCCCCACCCAACACCACTCTGGTAACCATCAGTTTGACTCTATAGTTAAGAGTTGGTTTCTTAATTTGTCTTTCTTCCTCTCTCTTTTATCTTTCCTTTCCTTATTTGCCTCATTTCTTAAATTCCACACAAATGAATTCCTATAGTATTTGTCTTTCTCTGACTTAGCATAATACTCTCTAGCTCCATTGATGTTGTTGCAAATAGCAAGATTTCATTCTTTTTTATGGTTGAATAATAGTCCATTGTAGATATCTATTTATCTATCCATCTATCTACCTATCTATACCACTCCTTCTTTATCCTTCCATCCATCGACACTGGTTGCTTCCGTAGTTTGGCTATTGTAAATAATGCTGCAATAAACATAGAGTGCATATATCCTTTTGAATCAGTACTTACTGGGTGCAATTACTGAATCAT